AGTTGTTGGTCCTTGAGGACTTGCAACACAATCCATAAATGATTGGTGTGCTCATCCTCACTCCTTGAATAAATCAAGATGTCATCGATAAATACAATCATAAGCATGTCTAGATATTTTCTAAACACTCAATTCATAAAGTCCATAAATGCGGCCAGATCATTAGTTGAACCAAATGACATTACGAAGAACTCATAATGACCATACCAAATCCGAAGCACCGTCTTCGAAATGTCATCTTTCTTCACCCTCAATTAGTGATAGACCAGCTGGAGGTCGATATTAGAGAAGTAACTTTCTCCTTTAAGTTGATCAAACAAATCAAATATACTTCGAAGAGGATATTTATTCTTAATGGTAACCTTTTTAAATTACCGATAATCAATACACATGCGAAGTGAAACATCCTTCTTACGAACAAACAAAACTTTACCACCCCATAAAGAGATACTCGATCTGATGAAACCTTTATCCAATAAATCCTTCAATTGCTCTTTCAAATCCTTAAGTTCTATCGGAGCCATACGATAAAGAGGAATATAGATAGGTTGTTTATTTGGGAGAAGGTAAACTTTGAAGTCTATTTCCCTTTTGGTAGGAACAACGGGTAGATCTTTGGGATAAACTTACCAAAACACATTTACAACGGGGGCCGACTCAAGAGTAGGGTCTTAGGAATCCATATCCCTAACCCAAACAAGATGCTATATGCAACCCTTAGAAATCATTTTTATAGCTTTAAGACAAGAAATAAACTGACCCTTAGGCATGGAATTTCCCTTTTCCCACTCTAGGATGGGCTCATTAGGAAATTCAAATTTGACCACTCAGGTTCTACAATCAATAAAATCATAACAAGAATGGAGTCAATCCATACAAAGAATGACATAGAAATCTAGCATATCAAGATCTACAAGATCAATATCAATGACTCTATGGATAATGTAGCGACCCGTTCCTATCGTTATAGAAAATCCAATGGGGAAAGAACTGGGGCCAGAAAATTTTTGAGTAGTAACTTGGGAATTCCTAGCCTAGTCCAGATTTGGATGAAATCTGAGTCAGTGAGGTATAGGGAAATATGGTAATGAATGAAAGATTTAATTATGAATTTGATCACATAAGTAGATAGCCAAGACTTTAAGGAACCCGTATGACTTTACGAAATCAAATTCGGGAGAGTAGAACTCCCAAAACTAATCTTAGCGTGAATGGGTAGTTTTTGAACATCAGGAGTTGAATGTGTGTTGTGTAATAGGAGTTTGGAACTCAAATTTTGAGGTTTTGTCTAAGTGTAAGACGCTAGGGTGGGGTAGCTGTGGTGGGATGGTGGCCGCCGTAGCAGGCCTGTCGCGAATTAAGTCAGGGAAAAACCAGAATTTCGTTATTTTTCTGTAAACTTCGTTCTTAAGAGTTAGGAGACGACCCAAGACAAGTTCTTGATAGTTTTCCATGACTTTTGGTGCTAAAGGTAAGGATTTTATTCCCCTAATCCATTTTTCGATCTGCAGAACTTAGTTTTATGGGTAATTATCAATATGGGAGGGTTTTGGCCTAAAGTTGATGGTGGGAAAAAGCCCTAGCTGCACCTTAGGATCATGGGTTTGGTCTTGGGTTATTGGGTTTGCTATCATCCAGATAATTAGACCTTAATTTATTGATCCTTGCATTATATTAATTGTTTGTAGACCTAGAACAAGCGGAAAGAATCCGGAAAGGGAAGATTCAAGTGTCTTAGGGGAATTCAAGCTTGGTTTCGAGGTAGGTGATGGTTTGATTTCATGTTTGTGTAATATATGTTGGTAATTGCTTCATTGTAATGCATACATGTATGTGAATGAGGCACTATTGATCAAACCTAAAGAAATGAGTATGAATGAACAATTGTATGCCATGAATCAACACTTGATTGTATGATTATGAGTATGTACATTATGAGTGCGAATGTGATTGTGGTTGTGTTGATTGGATCGGGTGTCATGTTCTGGCATATGCATTGGATCGGGTGTCACATTCCGACACACACATTGGATCAGGTGTCACGTTCCGATACTGTCACGCCCCGAGACTTCCCCCGAGATGCGGACACGGGACCTAGGATCACAAGTGACCCCAAGTTAACCCTACTGGCATAATCAAAAGCATACTAAAGATAATAATAACTGATGCGGAAGCTAAATCATAAATAAAATGAAAAGGATGGGGAATACCCATATACTATAATTGAGATAAATGAAAACTGATGAGTTTAATACAAATAAGATATTAACTCAATACTAAGCTGAATCTATCTATGTCTGAAAATAGCCTCTAACTAACTAGAAATGCTAGGACAGGCCCTAGTTAAGTCTAGAAAAATTGAAACTAAAGGATTAAAAATAATATTGAAAAGAGACTCATGACTATTGTCCTCGGAGAATGAGGACTCACCACTGATTCTGTTGAACTGGAGATCGGGAACCGATCTAAGCGTGATCTGGATGCTAAGAACCTGAACCTAGATCACGAGAAGATGTAGAGCACGTATGCGTCATTACTTGAAAGGCACTGAGCATGCAGGATAGAATACAACTGAAATAACATATAACTGAACAAAGCAAATAAGCAATGATATAATCTGAACAGGATATAGATACTGAATGCTGAGAAAATTGAATGCAGTGACCAATTTATATCATGCTGAAGCTGAATACTGATAAATGGTTAATGCAATAGAATCTGACTGAACTATGAGAGCTACTAATAATCGATAAAAAAACCACATGAGCTAAATGTGGAGTCTGATGTATACGCCTCATCGAGAGGACCCAATATACCCTGCCAGAGGTATAAAGGCATGCTGGCGTGATCACTGAAATGATGCCCACAGAAGGGACTTACAACCTATGTGGCTAGTAGTTCTGGGACTATTTGGGTACACTGAACCCTAGTCCAACTCGGTATTATGCTACTTCCAATGGATTAGTGATTAACACATTATGACTAAATTTCTATAAGTTACTGGATAGCTCAAACTGAACATGCAAAACTGAGAATGCAACAATTAATTTGATAATGATGCATTCATAAACTGAGGCATGTATAACTGAATACTGAAATATCTGACCTAGCATGTGTAATTCAAGAACTAAAGAAATACATAACTAGGGTTCTGAAATTCATGCAATAAATTGAATATTAACATACTAATCTGATTTGGATCATTCTAATAACTAGGAACCCAACAATTCTAACATTCAAGAAACCCTAGGTCTAATCATAATAAGGGAATCAAGAAACTGACTAAAAACTAGGGACCTAATGGGTGAAAGGAACCCACTAGTGAAATTCCACATACCTGGTGATGAATTTCACGAAAAAATCTTTCAATTTCGAGGTTGGAACAGATGGAACCTTGTTGCACTCTTGAACTAGGGTTCTTAACCTTTTTCTCCTCTCTTACTTCTAATTTTCTATGGTTTGATGAATGATTTGACTTAGGAAAGTTCTAGTTATGTTTCTAGGCTTAAACTGACTAAAACCTCATAATTTAGGGTCTAAACGACGTAGCTTAGGGGTCCAACAAAATAGGAAAAGGACTAAAACAACCCTAACTTAATTCTGGCGAAGCCCATCCATGGAAGGAACGACGTTCTGTCATTTGATCTACCGGCCGTCGTTTGGGTCCCGTCGGTCAAGTCTGTCCGACAGATCTTCACTAAATAGAGCATAACGTTTTACTCGGAGGTTGGATTTTAGCAAACTTGGTGGCGTTGAAAAGAGGATTCAATTATCTATCATATCATATGTCATGGGACACATGATTTATTTTTTTCTAAGAGTTATGACCATTTGAAGTTAACCCAATCAATAATTTTCCTCTAATTGGCTACTTACCCTCATCTATGGTCAGACCTACGGATCGTGCATTGAACGACGGTCCATGCTGGTCGACCGTAGTTTGTGTCAGAGGCTGGGTAAAGGAGTCTTGATCGATGGACACAGACCACCGACCATGGTCTGACCTACAGACCGTGAGTCTATCCGTGGGTCGAGACTTAGCCAATTTTCTGAGGTGGGCAAGGGGGAGGGGTTGCAGTGGTGAACCACGGACCACCAGCACGAGCCGTGGTCTGACTTACGGTCCGTGGATGGAAACCGTGGGTTGTACCTGCAACTTCTCAAAATCTACATTTTGGTGTATCTAGGATACGGGGTGTTACAGACACATACATTGGATCGGGTGTCACGTTTCGACACACTAACAATTTGGGTGTGGCTTCAATGAGAGGACCATTGTACTATTGTATCTAATTGTTATTGAGAATGTGGAATTGTACATTGCTCATGAAATGATAACTGGTTTATAGATATATTATGTATATGTGTGTGTTTACTATGTTGTGATTGCTGCTATATATTTTGCTTACTGGAATTGTTGCATGATCCTACCAGTACAATTTGGTTGTGTACTGATACTGCACTTGCTCATTCTTTATTGAGAACAGGGCATCTTGAGGCGGATACTGATAGACCTCAGCTAGGAGATCACTGATCGAGACCAAATTCAAGGGTGAACCAGTTCTTCCAAGCTGCCATGAGTTCTCATTCTGTTTAGTCCATTCTCTTTGGACATAGACTAGTACTTCAAATATTCATTTTTTTAGTTTCGGAGTTGTACCCCTTGTTCGTAGACTTGTCGTTAGTAGAGTTTTGGTACATTGACTTTCAGGTTCTACGCGTTGTTTTCTGCAAATATTTTGGTAATTGTTTTGTTAAACTTTTAGAGTTTATGATGACTCCATTTTCCTTTAGACATTTAAATTTGCTTTTATATCTTTAAATGCTTAGATTTTCGTTAAGTTGATTGGTTGGGTTGTGGTAATGGTTCTCCCACCGGAGGGTTAGTGTAGGGGCCAATCACAACGGTCTGGGTCGTGACAGATAATGAGTCGAGACATTTTCTATAGACTCTCTCAGCCATAATAGATTCACTAATTAGTGTATAGAAATAAAAAAGGTCATAACAATACATTTGGAAGAACATCAAACCTCATAACCACATATGGCTTCACAAAACACAAAGTAGCACCAGGATCAAGGAAATCATAAACATCAAGATGAAAGACTTTCAAAATACCAGTTACCGCATCGGGAGAACCCTCTTGATCATGATGAGTTTGAAGTGCATAAAATCTAATTTTCTTTGGTGCACTTGAACCCGAACCTGTTGGCGATGCTTGTCTACCTTCTCTTCCCTTAGAAGTAAGTGATCGACAATCCATTATCTTGCGACCACTCATTCCACAACCAAAGCAACCATACGTACTGGCTAAGCATTTACCCTCATGCTTCCTTCCATATCTAGAAAACGTAGTCAATGAAGATCCACCATCATTTCCTCCTTAAGGCTTAGGGTTATGCACCTTATCATTGTTGAATTTTGGAACTAGAGCATTAGAGGAACCTTGATCGGAAAACCTTTGCCGGAACATATAATGACCATGTCCATCGGACCTTGAATGTGAAAAATCACCATCACTGGTCTTTACTCTTTTGGCCTCCCTAGACCTTTCCTTAAGTTTCTCCTCTTCAATTTGTTGAGCATGAATCATTAGACGAGAAATGTCACGCTCCAAGCTATCCCCGAGACGCGGACACGGGACCTAGGATCGCAAGTGACCCCAAGCTAACCTTGCTGGCATGACATGAGCAAACTAAGAATAATAATCACTTATGCGGAAGCTAATAATAAGTAAATCTGAAATGATGGGGAATACCCATATACTAAAACTGAATATATCAAATCTGAGAGTCTAATACAAAAGAAATATCAAACTCAAATACTAAGCTGAATTTAACTATGTCTGAAAATAGCCTCTAACTGACTAGAAGTGTTGGGACATGCCCCAACTAAGTCTAGCAAAACTAAAACTAAAAGACTAAAATACTGGAAGATAACATGACTATTGTCCTCGAAGAATGAGGAATCATCATTGATGCTACTGAACTGGAGATCAATGAACGATCTATGCGTGATCTGGAAGTTGAGAACCTGAACCTACATCACGAGAAGATGTAGCGCAGAGTATGCGTCAGTTCTTGAAAGGTACTGAGCATGAAAGATAGAGTAAAACTGAAATAAACATATAACTGAACAAGTAATAAAGCAAGGATATAATCTGAACATGATATATATATTGAATCCTGAACTAACTGGATGCAATGACAAAATTTATAACATGCTGAGACTGAATACTGACTGTACTAAAAATGTGGTCAATGCAATAGAGTCTGACTGAACTGTGGGAGCTACTAACAACAGATAATAAAAACACATGAGCTAAATATGGAGTCCGATATCATGTGTAATTCAAGAACTATAGAACTGCATAGCTAGGGTTCTGAAATTTATGCTAGCAACCAAGTAATCACATAATAATCTGATTTATAACATTTAAATAACTAATTCATGATAATCTGGGGAAGTTCTAGAAACCCTACGTCTAGTTAATGATAGGGAATCAAGAATCTGTCTGAATTCTAGGGACCTAATGGGCAAAAGGAACCCATTAGTGAAATCCCACATACCTGGTGAAGAATTCCACGGAGAAATCTTTTGATTTTAGGGTTGGAACTGATGGAAATCTTGTTGCGTTCTTGAACAAGGGTTCTTGACTTCTTTCTCCTTTTACGCTCTAATTTTTCTAAGTTCTGAAGAATTATTTGACTTAGGTAAGTTCTAGTTATGTTTCTAGGCTAAAACTGACCAGAACGATGTAGTTTAGGGTTAAAACGATATAGTTTAAATGTCCAACGAAATAGGAAAAGACCAAAAGACCCTGACTTAAAATGCAGATGGGGTTGAGCACAACCACTTTGACGAACCGTGAAAGGGACCACGGACCGTGGGACTGGTCGTGGTCGTTGGCCAGTGGCTACTGGTTCTGGGGTCTTCCTTCACGAGCCTTACCACAACCCGTGTGAGGAACCACGGACCGTGAAGGTCCTCGTGGTCCTCACTTGGGTTGAGGTCTGGTAGCTCAGGATTAGGGGTCCACTGGCTAGGCTTCTATGGACCCTCCCACAAACCGTGTGGAGGACCATGGACCGTGAAGGTCCCCGTGGTCCTCACTTAGACGTGGGGTCTAAGGGCTAGGCTAGGGGGGCAACTGCCTAAATCTTCACTAACGCCACCACGGTTCGTCGTCAAGACCACAGCCCTTGAAGGGTCCCGTGGTCTGATGTCTTGGCCTGGTGGAGTCCATTCCCCACCCCTGGTAGTTCAACGGACCGTGGACCCTATCACGGTTCGTGAACCGTGCCGTGGTTCACTGTATCAGGTAAGTTCTGCAATTTTTTCTAAGTCCAGTTTTGGAGGTGTTACAATATCTGGCCCTTGGGATCATTTATCCTCATATGAGGACTAAACTATCTGAAATGGAGGGAAAGAGCTACAACCCTACCACTAAACACTGAAGATTGTTTTCTGATTGAACTGATTTCCAAGAACATGCAAATATGATAAATATGCAAGTATAAACTGAAGGAACATGATACTAAGACTGAATTTGCGCATGAATGACTGAAAAACTGAAAAGGAAATATTACCTCAAGCTGGAATAGAATTGAAAGGAAAGAGGTGAGCATACTTGGACTGCATTGATGGTTCTGCTTCCGAGGTAGCTCCCGATACGGACTGACTTCTCTACAAAACCTTGACTGGAGTGACTTATTTGTTTCTCAACCTTCTAAAATGACGATCGAGAATCTCAACTGGTACATCCTCATAAGTGAGACTATCCTTCATAGACATACTCTCTAATGGTACTACGGACGCTGGATCACCCACACACTTCTTCAAAAGTGAGATGTTAAAAATCGAATGCACTTTTACTAGTTCTGTTGGCAACTCTAACTCATAAGCCACTTTACCAATCCTTTGAAGAATCTTCTATGGGCCTACATATCTAGGACTGAACATCCCTTTCTTGCCGAACCTCAACAACCCTTTCATAGGTGATACTTTTAGGAAAACCCAATCACCAACTTGGAACTCTAGTTCCCTTCTCCTTACATCTGCATAAGACTTCTGGAGACTCTAGGATGTCTTAAGTCTATCTCTAATGAGTTGCACTTTCTCCATAACATAATGGACTGAATCTGGTCCTATCAAGGCTACTTCACCTACTTCAAATCAACCAACAGGAGATCTACATCTACGCCCATATAATGTCTTATAAGAGGCCATCTGAATGTTGGAATGCTAGCTATTATTGTAGGCAAAATCTATAAGAGGAAGGTGATCATCCCAACAACCCTTGAAGTCGATCACACAAGCTCTCAACATATCCTCTAAGGTTTGAATGGTACGCTCTACCTTACCATCCGTCTGTGGATGAAATGTTGTGCTAAGGTTAACCTGAGTACCAAGACCTTTCTGAAATGACTTCAAGAAATGAGAGGTAAACTGAGGACCTCTATATGAGATTATAGACAAAGGAACCCCATTCAACCTGACTATCTCATTAATGTAAAACTTGGCGTAGTCCTCCGCCAAATCTGTAGTCTTGACCACAAAAAAACGAGAAGACTTAGTAACTCTATCAACTATCACCCAAATGGATTTATGCTATCTGCGATGACGTGGTAATCCTGTAATGAAATCCATGTTGATCACTTCATACTTCCAAGTAGGAATGTTGATCTCTTGAGTCATACCTCCTTGTTTCTGATGGTCTACCTTCACTTGCTGACAATTGGGGTACTTAGCCACAAAATCTGCTGTGTCCCTCTTCATGCCATTCCACCAAAAGACTTCCGGTAGATCGCGGTACATTTTAGTGGCACCTCGATGAATAGAATACCTGGAGTTATGGGCTTCTGCAAGAATATGTTGTCTCAACTTGCCCACATTAGGAACATATAGTCGACCCTGATAGCGAAGCACATCATCTCCCCCTTCAGAGAATACATCAATTCTCTGTTGATGGACTACACCCTTTAGCTCAAGCAATATCGGATCACTGTCTCACTCTTCCTTAACATCTGCTACCAATGATGATTCTGATCCATTCTGGACTGTTACACCACCATCTGATATGCTCATAAAACGAGCTCTCAAGCAAGCAAGCCTGTGAACATCCTTTGCTAGCTCTTTTCTTTCTTCCTTAACATGTGCTACTCTACCCATAGATAGTCTGCTAAAGGAATCTGCTACTACATTAGCCTTACCAAGATGGTAAGTCACACTCATGTCATAATTCTTAAGGAACTCAAGCCATCTCCTATGGCGAAAATTCAACTCTTTTTGGGTGAACACATATTGTAGGCTCTTATGGTCCGTGAACACAATACAAGTAGTGTCTCCAAATCTTAACTGCAAACACCACTGCTGCAAGCTCAAGGTTATGAGTCGGATAGTTCTTCTCATGCACCTTAAGCTATCTAGAAGCATAAGTTATAACCTTACCTCGCTGCATCAACGCACAACCTAGGCCGACTCTAGATGCATCACAATAGATCACATAACCGTCTGAACCCTCTGGTAGAGTCAAGACAGGAGCAGTACTCAACCTAGTTTGTAGTTGTGCGAAGCTTTTCTCACAATCATCTGACCACTGAAACTTAACCTTTTTCTGAGTCAACTTAGTCAATGGAGAGGCTATGGATGAAAATCCTTCCATGAACCTTCTGTATTAACCTGCTAGACCCAAGAAACTTCTGATATCTGTAGGAGAGGTAGGTCTAGGCCATTGTTTCACTGCTTCTATTTCTAGGAATCCACTCGGATCCTTTCATTGGATACTATATGCCCAAGGAAAGAAATAAATTGTAACCAAAACTCGCATTTGCTGAACTTAGCGAATAATTGGTGATCCTTGAGAGTTTGCAGGACAACCCTCAAATGACTCGGATGTTCTTCCTCATTCCTACAGTAAATGAGGATATCATCAATAAAGACGATAATGAACAAGTCCAAGTACTGCTTGAACACCCTGTTCATCAAATCCATGAAAGTTGCATGCGTATTGGTTAGTCCAAATAACATTACTACAAATTCATAATGACCATACCGAGTTCTGAAGGTTGTCTTCAGAATGTCACTATCTCTGACTCTAAGCTGATGATAATCGGATTTGAGGTCTATCTTTGAGAAATGACTAGAACCCTGAAGTTGGTGAAACAAGTAATCAATCATGGGGATGGGATACTTGTTCTTGATTGTGACCTTGTTCAACTGCCTATAGTCAATGCACATTTTGAGAGAACCGTCTTTCTTCTTCACAAACAACACTGGAGAACCCCATGGGGAAATACTGGGTATGATGAAGCCCTTATCTAGAAGGTCTTTCAACTGGGCTTTCAATTCCTTAAGCTCAGCTCGAGCCATTATGTAAGGAGGAATAGAAATAGGCTAGGTATCTAGAAGGAGATCAATTTCAAAGTCGATTTTCCTTTCGGGAGGAACTCCACGAAGATCTTCTGGAAACCCTCTTGGGAACTCATTAGCTATTAGGACTGACTCAAGAGTTGGGGTTTCGGAGCTTGAATCCTTAACCCTAACTAGATGATAGATACAACCCTTAGAGATCATTTTTCTGGCCTTAAGGTAAGAAATGAATTGACCTATATGCGCTAAGCTACTACCCTTCCATTCAAAGATTGGTTCGTTTGGAAACTGAAAACGAACAATCCTAGTTCTACAACCAACTGAGGAATAACAGGAATGCACCCAATACATGCCTAGAATGACATCGAAGTCTACCATTTCTAACTCTACAAGATTTGCTGAGGTGACTTTCTAAGAGACTGTGACATGGCAATTTTTGTATACCCGTGTAGCTATAACTGGGTCACCGACTAGAGTAGAGACTGAGAAGGGTTCTGAGAGAGTTTCTAGACTAACATCAAACTTAACTGCTATATAAATACAAAGGAAAGAGTAGCCCCTGGATCTAACAAAGCATAAACATCGAGATTAAAAACTCATAACGTACCAATGACTACATCAGGAGAATCTTCCTGATCCTAGCGAGCCTGAAGAGCATAGAGCCTATTTCGGCACTGTCTGCAACCTGCACTAAATGAGTTACCCTGCTAAGTCGGGCGACCTTCTAGTACTACTGAAGTTGTAGACTAAGCTCTTCCATTATTACCTCCTTGACCCTGTTTAGAAGGACAATCCCTCAACCTGTGACCAGACTGACCATACCCAAAGCATCCTTCCTTTCATGCGAGGAACTCGCGCGGATGGTTCTTACCACACTTAGGGCAAGTTGGGCAGGTTTTGGTACTTGTAACACTCCCTTGAGACTTAGAGCCTGATGCCCTTCCTTTCTGATCTTGTTTGAACTTGGAGGACGGAACACTAGCTGATGAAGGACTGGAGCTGAAAATTTCTGCTGACCTTGCGAGCGATTTCCACCACCCGACTTCTGTTGAGAATACTCATAGTTCCCAGTCCTAGCTTTCTTGTTCTCCTTAGCCTGTTCCCTAAGCTTATCTAGCTCAACCTGCTGAGCATGCGTCATGAGCCTAGAGATATTCATATTTTCCAGCAACATAGCATTTCTACACTCTGTCTTCACCAAGTCTGACACTACATATAAAAACTTATTCATTTGGGCCCTGGAATCAGCAGCCATGTGAGGAGCATACCTTGAGAGTTGGGTAAAATTGAGCCCATACTCTTGGTCTGTCATGCTACCTTTCCTTAAGTTTATAAATTCCCGAGCCTTTGCCTCTCTTAACTCTCTTGGGAAGAACCTGTCCAGAAATGTCTCACTAAAGCAATCCCAAGTGATAGGACCTGCATCTGTATCCCTGTTCTCTTTCCACTGAGTATACAATATATGAGCCACATCCTTAAGCTGGTAAGATGCTAACTCAACCTGATCATTCCCAGTTACCTGCATCACTTCAAAGATCTTCTTGACCTCATCAATGAACTTTTGGGGATCCTCACCAATCTGCAATCCTAAGAACTCAGACAGATTCATCCTAACAAAATCTCGCACTCTAGCTGCAGCTGACCCAACATTAGCATCTTCCGGACTTGGAACCCGCTGGTTGTTCTGGTTGGCCACACTCTACGCTAACATCTGAATGGCATTCCAGAACTCTACATTCGAAACTTCTTGATCTGGGACTGGAAGAGGTGATTGTGTTCCTGGCATTCACATTTCTGGCGTTAGCTCTACAAGGAGGCATGATCTGAAACGTAGAATGTCGAGTTAAAAACGAGGAATTAGAACATACATTACGCACGATAAGAGTAACAAAAAATGAAGATTTTTCCTAAAACACTTTGTAGCTTCCCTCTCATTAGATGTGGTACGCACTACACGCCAATGAAAATGACACTATCTAGTGCGGCTTTTTAGACATCCTAGGAAACTTAAACCTAGTACTCCGATACCAAGTTTGTCATGCCCCAAGCTGCCCCCGAGACACGGACACGGGACCTAGGATCACAAGTAACCCTAAGCTAACCCTGCTGGCATGACATGAGCATACTAAGAATAATAATAATAATTTATACGGAAGCTAATCATAAGTAAAACTGAAATGATGGGGAATACCCATATACTAAACCTGAATATATCAAATCTGAGAGTTTAATACAAAAGAAATATCAAACACAATACTAAGCTAAATCTAACTATGTCTGAAAATAGCCTCTAACTGACTAAAAGTGTTGGGACATGCCCCAGCTAAGTCTAGCAAAACCAAAACTAAAAGACTAAAATACTGGAAGATAACATGACTATTGTCCTCAAAGAATGAGGACTCACCACTGATGCTGCTGAACTGGAGATCGAGGAACGATTTATGCGTGATCTGGAAGCTCAAAACCTGAACCTACATCACGAGAAGATGTAGCACAGAGTATGTGTCAGTACTTGAAACGTACTGAGCATGCAGGATAGAGTAAAGCTGAAATAAACATATAACTGAACAAGTGATAAAGCAAGGATATAATCTGAACATGATATATATACTGAATACTGAATTAACTGGATGCAATGACAAAATTTATAACATGCTGAGACTGAATAATGACTGTACTGAAAATGTGGTCAATGCAATAGAGTCTAACTGAACTGTGGGAGCTACTAATAATCGATAATAAAACCACATGAGCTAAATGTGGAGTCCGATATATAAGCCCCATCGAGAGGACCGAATATACGCTGCCACATGTATAGAGGCATAACTGGTGTGATCTCTAAATGATGCCCACATAAGGGACTTACAAACTACGTGGCACGTAGTTCTCAGACTATATGGGTGACTGACCCTAATCCAATTTGGTATTATGCTACTCCCAATAGATTAAATGATTAACACATTATGACTGAATTTCTGTAATATACTAGATAGCTCCAAACTGACATGCAAACTAAGAATGCACATTAATATACTGATAATGACACATTCAAAACTGAGGCATGTATATCTGAAATACTGAAATATCTGACCTAGCATGTGTAATTCAAGAACTAAAGAACTGCATAGCTAGGGTTCTGAAATTTATGCTAGAAACCAAGTAATCACATGATAATGTGATTTAGAACATTTAAATAACTAATTCATGATAATCTGCTAAAGTTCTAGAAACCCTAGGTCTAGTTAATGATAGGGAATCAAGAATGTGACTTAATTCTAGGGACCTTATGGGCGAAAGGAACCCATTAGTGAAATCTCACATTCCTGGTGACGAATTCCACGGAGAATTTTTTTGATTTCGGGGCTGGAACTGATAGAAATCTTGTTGCGTTCTTGAACTAGGGTTCTTGACTTCTTTCTCCTTTTACGCTATAATTTTTCTAAGTTCTGAAGAATGGTTTGACTTAGGTAAGTTCTAGTTATGTTTCTAGGCTAAAAATGACCAAAACCACGTAGTTTAGGGTTAAAACGACGTAGTTTAGAGGTCCAACGAAATAGGAAAAGACTGAAAGACACTTAAAGTTCAGATGGGGCTGACCGCGACCACTTTCACAGACCATGAAAGGGACCACGGACTGTGGGACTGGTCGTGGTCTTTGGCCAGTGGCTACTGGTTCTGGGGTCTTCCTTCACGATCCTTACCACGGCCCATGTGAGGGACCACAGACCGTGAAGGTCCTCGTGGTCCTCACTTGGGCTGAGGTCTGGTGGCTTAGGATTAGGGGTCCACTGGATAGGCTT